TCTCATCCCTGCTCCCTGCTCCATATCACCCACCTCCTCCTTCCTTGCTCCTTCTCCTCCTCCCGCTCCTCTTCCCGCTCCTCCCGCTCCTCTTCCCTCACTCCTCATCCTCCCTCCCTAACCCTCCTTCCTCCCTCCTCCTCCCTTCCTCACCCCCCTCCTTTCTCTCACTTCGTAATTAAAAAGGTCAGGAAAAACAAAAGATCTAAGTCACCTTAAGGTTATTTTGAGAAAATTAATGAAACTCTTACCCACCATAAACCAAAAAAACAACAACAAACAAAACAACAACAACAACAAACAAACAAACGAAAAAATAAACAAAACAAACAAACAAACGTACAAATAAACAAGAAAGACAAACATCAAAAGAGCAGGCTTGAAGCATGCCATTATTGCCGACTTTGGATAATTATTCTTTGTAAAGGTCACGCACACTTCTGATGTGGAGCCATCCAGACATCGCCAAGGAAGCTCTCGTGGTCGAGAGGTTACGGTGTTCACCTCTCATTTAAATGGTCCCGGGTTCGAAACCTGACAGCGACGGGAACAGTTTGTTCTCTAATATTCTCTCGTTTCACCTCCTTTCCTGCTCTCAAACCATGCGCTGTCGTCTGCTTTCTGCCGCCCCCCCCCCTTTTGCCCCCTCCTCTGGCCCCCTCACTCTTTCTGCCGCCTTTCTACTTCTACTCCGTGGCTCCTTCTTACGGTTGTCTTTCAGCGACACCCTTGACATTAAGGTAGGCCAATTCTAACTCTTTGCCTTCTCGGAAAAGGACGAAAAATCTCGGAGGTCCCGTGTGCAAGTTGCACCCGTTAAAGATCCCTGGGTGTCCAAAATCGGTAACAGTAGGCTTCGGCCGCCACACGGGCAAAATTCAAAGTGATCTCTTTCCAAACCGAAAATATGTCAAATGTCCCCTGCGCTCATATGACCGTATGCAGTTTCGAGCGTCGTAAAACTCTTGCCCTCCCACCCCCCCCCCCAAAAAAAAAGAAGAAACCGGTCACAACTCTGATGTGGAGCCTCCCAGAGATTGTCATTTCATTCACACGCCTTGCTGTGTAAACTCACCTCGCGGCTCTTGTCATACCAACATCTCGGGCATTTTAAAAACAATTTCTTGATTTTTTTTCTTTGCAAAATACCAGTTTGATCCTTAATGTTTTTCATAGCAGAATGTGACTTTGACCCTTAATTTTTTTCCGTTGTGATTTTGAACCTTTTTTTCTTATTCAAAGCAAAATGTGACTTTGGCTCTTTTTTTGTGAGGCCATCCTTTGGAACAAGACTCGGTGGACCATGGAACAATTGAACAACAGTACAATACTGGAATAAGACTATAGGACAACAGGACAATTGGAGAATAAGACAATAGGAAATAGGACAATAGGACCGTAAGACAACTGGACAACAGAACAATATAAGGACAATAACACAATAGAACAGTAGGACAAAAAGACAACAGGACAGTAGGACAACAGACAATAGGACACAAGGACATGTAATGGTGACGTCACGTAGACTCACCCCGCCGTACTAACGTAGCCTTGTCCTGGACTTTTTTCGCGGCTGCTCTGCTGTGGTTGGCTCCTTCTTTCCTATCAAACTAACATCTATAGTCCTTATCTCTCCTTCTTATCTCTCCTTCTTCTTTTCTTTATATCATATCATGTTACCTCTAGACACCTTACCTTAACACCTTTAATGTTCGGAACTTACGTGATCTATGACCTATTTGTGTTGGGAGTGCCGTAAAACTCTCACAAAACTCCGAAATATTTTGCTACAAGTCGGTTGGAGCGTGGGATCACAGTGTGCGCGGGTCACTCCAAAGGTCAGAGGTGTCACTGTGTTTTCAAAACATTCACCAGAGTTGGACTGGATAGCATGAGGAGGTGTCGGTCCACTGCACGTCGCCTCACGCCACATCAGGTAGCGTCACACAATGACTGCTGGTGTGTGGCTACACGTTGTGGTGTTTTATTTTGATTTGTGTTTGTTGTGTTGTGTTGTGTTGTGTGTGTGTTGTGTGAGTGTGTGTGTGTGTGTTTGTGTGTGTTTGTGTGTTTGTGTGTGTGTGTGTTTGCTTGTGTGTGTGTGTGTGTGCTTGTGTGTGTGTCTGTGTTTGTTCGTGTTTGTGTGTGTATGTGTGTTTGTTTGTGTATGTGTG